GTAGAGCCTTGTTTTGAGAACTCTACTTGTTCCCTGTTTTGGAAGCAACTGTTTTGTTACAATATTTGGTGGTGAAAACAAGACTTAATTCTGTCCTGAAAATTACAATTTGGTTGTCAAGACTTTGTTGAAGAGTAGGTTTTGCGGCTGATTTTTTGAGTCTACGTTTGGTCAGGTTTTCAGATGTTTTTACAAGGTGTCATGTCTCCCACTTGCCAATGGTCATTTTGCAGGGATTTTTATAGCCTAAAGGTTGGCTGTAATTTACCCAAAACATTTTGGTGGTCACCACAAGAGTTTCAGATTTTAATCGGCTTGAATAGCCATTGGTTAAAAAAATCATGTTTATCAAAACACTTTATTGTAGTAGGAATGAAACTTCTGTTCTTTCCCTTTCCTTCACCTCCAATTGACCCCATTCCATTCCTTGGTCAAGGAGCCTTGTACGCAGGGTGGCAAGGTACAGGTTTCAGTATAACCTTCATACTTTCCCCCAAGCTACTGAAACCAGCAGTGAAGTCCCTTAGTTTAAATTTCCCTGAAGAATCACAAGGATCATAAAGGCTATTTAGAGTCAATAGAACCCTCCCTTGCATAAAGGGAGGGTTCTATATTGTGCACCTTGAATGTGAATGTCTGCTTTGAGATTCCACTTGAGGCTCAATCTGTCTTATGTTGGCAGGTCATCTTTCTTCAAATACAGTTCTTTCAGTTGCATACTTCCTCTCTTCTGGGGTGTCTCAGTGTGTGTGAGCGAGGAGGGGGGGGGCAAACTAAACAGTTTGATAATTTATAGCAGTGCTTTTCAACCTTTTTGCTGGAGTGGAACCCCATGGAAACATTCCACTGGCTTGAGGAACCCCTGTGCAATAATTTGGTTGTCTTATGCAAAAAAATGCAATTTGTAATAAAATGAAAATATTCATGTTCAGAGTATTGTAAATGAAATGAAAACAAAAGTGTACATGTTTGAATAGATTACATTTATTCTTATGAAAAAAGTCAATGGGAAACTTGAGCCTGGTGTTTCTTGCACAACTCTTTTAAGATTGGGTCGTGTTTTTGACAGACACACTAAGTTCATCTTCCACAGACCATAATTGAGCTCGTTTCTTGTGCTTGATGGTTGTCAGAGCTGAAAATCCAAATTCACACAAGTAGGAGGTTGAAAATTGCACAAGAAGTAAATAGCGCTTTCTGGGCAATTGCAGGATATTCCTTTTCAATCAAAACCAAAATGCATTCAGGTTAAGTTCAGAATGCTTCAGCTTTAATGTCCTGTCATTTAGAACACTGGCAAGTTCTTCTTCTTCTGTTAATGTGAACTGTTCTTCAGGCGGCTCAAATTCTACAAATGGGTTTCTAATCCAGTCATACTGCTCAACAGATATTGATGGAAAATATTTGTCAAGATTTGTTAACAGAGTGTCCAAATGGTTCAAAATCAGTAGCCTAATTTCTTGACAATTCCTTTTAAAAACACATGGAAACATTTCCAAATTTCCTGCAGCTATGCGTTTCTTCCATATTGTCAATTTCTTCTGAAAAGCATTTATTTTGTCAGTAGAAGACAAGATATTTTCGTTCCTGCCCTGCATGCTATTGTTCAAGAGGTTTAGTTCATGAAATATATCGGCAAGATATGCTAACCCGAACACCAATGGCCATTACTTAAACATTCTACAAAGTCTTTCAGGTTTTCTTGCAAACAAAAGGTCAATAACTCTTCTCTTAATTTAAAAACGAGACAATACTTTCCCCCTTGACAACCATCGTATTTCTGTGTGCTGGATTAAGGTGGAATGTTCTGCTTCCATACCCACACAAAGTTTCTCAAACTGTCGACATTTAAGTGGCCTCATCTTGATGTAATTAACTATTTTAACTACCATATCCAATGCAGATTTTAGTTCAGATCCAAGAGTTTTAGCTACTAGTGCTTCTCTATGAATGAAACAATGAGTATGGATAATATTTGGATTTTGTTTTTGTGCGATTGAGACAAAGCCTTTAAGACATCCTGTCATTGCAGGGGCACCATCTGTACAAATACCAGCACAGTTTTTCAAGTTTAATCCACAATACTCTAAATATGAATTCAAAACATCATATACATCTTGTCCTTTCGTTGTCCCTGGCAATTCTTTGAGACACAGGAAGTCTTCTACAATAGCTTCATCATCAATAAATCGAACAAATACAAGGAGTTGTGCTTTACCACTAATGTCCGTACTCTCATCAACTTGAAGTGCAAAAAAGTTATGTTTCAGTATTTCTGATTTAAGATTGCATTCAATGTCTTCTGACATGTCTCGAATGCACCTACATATTGTGTTGTCAGAAAGTGGAATTTCATTTACTTCTGATACAGCATCCTCTCCAAACATTATCCTCACTATTTCTTGGCATGCAGGTAAAATTACAGTTTCAGCGATGGTATGAGATTTCATTTTTCTTGCAACTATCTCCGCCACAGCATAACTTATGTTAGTTACATGCATATTCAAGCAATTGTTTTCTAACTTACATTTATTGACTGTTTTGAAAATATTGTTCATCTTTGCTCGACAACTCTGGATGTTTAGTTACTAAATGTCGTTTCAGTTTGGCTGGTGCCATAGCACTGTTAGCCAGCTTCTCCCCACAAATAATACACAAAGGTGAAGGGCACTCTGGGTTTCCAGTCCAAGTAAATCCCAGAGCTACGTAGTTTTCACAATATTGACGAACTTTTAGTTGTAGGTTAATTCCACCATTTCTTGATTTCGATGAGGCAGCATTGCTGGTAGTAGTTTCGGCTTCAAAAGAGTACCTCAGATCCTGTGTCTCTTCATCCGCATCTGTCTTGCGTTTTTTCACAAATCTATCCATGGTTATAAAATCTGTAAAAGAGTTTCGATGATTTGAGTTTGAATATTTATTTACAAAATGTCAATAATAAAAAAAATAATAAAATTATGTTAGTTACATGCATATTCAAGCAATTGTTTTCTAATTTACATTTATTGACTGTTTTGCTCTATGTCTAGTAGATCTAGTTAGGTCTAGAATAGTCTAGATCTAGATTTTTGCTTTGGAAATTGAAAAAAATAACAACCGTTAATCGTCCGTCTGACAGTTTGTGGGTTAATAAAATAGATTTTCGAATTTGAATTTAACATGTTGTTTATTTGTTCGTGTTCTAATTTAGAAATTGCGGAACCCCTGGACTGTACTGGCGGAACCCTGGTTGAAAACCACTGATGTAAATTAACGTCTTGCACCAGGAATTGGTGTTGCAGTAGTACTATTTGGAGCACCAGTATAATGACGTAAACCACTAGGAAACATACATACATTAGTTTTGTCTGATGTGTTAATAAATGCTGCTTTAGAATCCGGACACATAAATCCTACCATTTGAGGTGAACCAGATATATATTCAAAATCAATCTCGGAAAAGTAGTTGCCAACTAAATAGAATGCAATTTTAGCAGGATTATTAGAACTATCTAAGATAGGAATAGGATCTAAAGCACATACAGGAGGTGGATTTGAAGGATTTATAGGCATTTTACCTGTCATATTCCAATCATCTCCAGTGACATTTGGATTTGCTTTCGTTTGCCATTTTCCGTTTTTATTCGGCGCCCAGGGTGTAGTATTAGTATCTATAGAAGTCTTTGAATTAATTTCTACTGGTATTGCATGCATTGGTCTTAATGAAGGAGCCGAGTTTAACATATCGTAAAAACTATTAAAACTACATAAATTAAACCAGGCAGGATTTCTATTTATCCAATTGTACCCAAAAGTATCACCTGCCGATAACATTTTCCATGCTCCTGTATTATAAATACTCATAATATGTTGTAAGTCTACATCAGTAGTGGTTTGTTTATCAAGTAATTCAACACCGGTCTGGTATTTCCACCAATTGTAAGGGAGATTTCTATAAGCCAAACATTGATGTAATCTACCCTCTGCTCTTGTTTTTGGAATGTTTTTCCGAAAATTGTCATTAGGTAATGCTGTACTAGTAAAGTCTCGTTGTTGAAATAATCCGTATTTTGAATCTACGTATGCTGCCATCCATGGTCTGGTATTAAACGTAGTATTTGTTACAGTTGTATTTTGTACTTGTCCAAGTTCATCTGTGATTGGAACTATATTTGTTATTTGGAATCCACAGCTTTTAACTCGAAATGATTTAGCAACACTTAAATATGTTTCCAATTCAACATTTGTCATACTAGCATTTAAGTAATTATATGGTATTTCAACCATACGCATTTTTAAATCTAAATGAATAATGTTTTCCTTTTTCTTAGCAGTTAGGATATCAAATCCCCCATGTTCATGGTCTATATAGTGTATAAATGAACGACTAAATTGTTTATGAATGATAGGATTAGCATCTCCGACTTTAACTGGTTGGTCTCCTCCTTCAACCATAGCTGCCCCACCTGGAGACAGTCCAACATGTGGATCTCCCATTTCTGAATCACCGTTTTCAGAAGTATCAGTACGTAAATATTTTTCAACACCTTCTTCTGATTCCTCTCGTAATCGTTTACCACTACGTAACATTCGGTCAGAAAATGAATTAGTAATAGAATCAAGTAGGACTTTACCTTTAAAGATATTACTTATAACAAGACTACTTGGAGTATCAATATTATGTAAACAATCTAAAAATTTATAATCAGCATCAATAGTAGCAATGTCAGTATCATAATCAATATCATGCGTTTTACAACATGCATCGACAGCATTCAAAGGATCAGCATGTAAATCATGAGTAAACGGACCACAAAATCTAGTTCCAGGAAAGTGCATTACCTACCTCTAATTCATTAAGAATTTTTGCATCTCTGTATTTCAAATCTTCGTATTTAGTACATTCTATTTTGTCAATTGATGTTTCTTTACATAATAATTCATCATCAGTATCGTTTGAATCAGCATCAGATAGAGAAGGTGGAGGTCCTGGAGTTGTTGGTGTAGGTATAGTTTCATTAATGTTTTCAATATTGTCCATTTCTCTTTTTTTTCTGCACAGGAACGGTGATTTCTCTTCTTTTTTTTGCCTCGGGTTAGAGCCAGATAAGATGCTGTCTCTCCTTTTGTTGTATTCTAAATGCTGACGTGTTTACTAAGAATTGCTTTTTTATACTTATCCTGTTATCTTTTGTGTAATCGATACCTATTCTATCTATTACTGTAATCTAATACTATCTGTACATCTGTAGACGTGTACAAACATGTTTTCAATGATATTTAAACTTTTGACCTACTGACCTCATTAAATAATATAGCTTTGCCTTGCCTTTAGCCTTAGGTAGTTATGCACCGCTCTTATGCCTGGAGCGGGGGCCTTGCCGTATAACACACCCATGTGACATACTCTACTAATTAAAGACTTTCATTCACGTTTACTTTACTCTAAAGCTAGAGTATGGCAGTGCGAAACGAAAACTGCTATATTTTCAGTTACGTGTTGGCCCCCCCAAAAAGGTATGCGTCATTCACGGACCCTGTTAATATCATCTACACTTATCTGCCAAACAGCGTTCGTTTTTTTTTGGGGGGGGGGCAGGAACTGGCTAACATCATTCACACCTGTCAAACAGCGTTTGTTTGGCCTACGCGTCAGGGACCAGGTAGGAGATGGGGGTAGAAGGGAAGGTTCTTTTCCGAGAACTGGCCCTGACTCATCTGGTTATAAAAACAATATATATCTCACAATCTGCACATTCAAGAAATAAAAAAGTTATTAAGATTCATATGTTTCGTTGCAAATACAAAAGGTACTGAAAATATACTTATAAAATCTGAGGTGAGGGTACAAATATGGGGTTAACGTAACAAGTAGTACTGCCAATATTCTGCGATGCAGTCTACCATGCTTCTCATGTGCGTGGCGCATACTTGTGCCGCTTGATCTTTGTCGAACCTGCATCCCGGTGAGTTGGGCGGCAGGTCTTGTTTGTGTAGCTGTTGTGTCAGGTTTTTTTTAACCCTGTATAGACGTCTACTTTTTTTAGGCGACGCTCCGTCCCATTCGTCGTATAGCAATGTCTTTGCCTGTCTGGGCTCGCCTTCGTCGGTCTCCAGCTCGGTTACGATTTCGTGATATTCGTTGTTAGCAAATTTATCTATGTGTCTCTTCCATACCGTGAGCCACCTTAGCGGGTTAAGTTCTATCTTGCCCCATTTTTCTAGTTTTGGCATCAGCCTGTTTGTGGTGTAGTGGTACATTCTGTTCATGATTGCTTCTTTTTCGTGGAGTACGACTTTCCACGGTTCGCTGTTGCTGGTGGAGATGCACGGCGTCCGTCTAAGCAGTCTCTCATTTTGATGTTTGACGTTGACGTACGTCTCCGTCCCCTCGAGGATGCACTTGGCCTCCTCGACGTTTTGGGGTGTGAACCACATCTCGTCAGTGTAGATCATCGTCTTGTCCACGCAGGTTCCAAACGTAAAGTTGTCCGACGCCTGACATCTCATCCTGCCGCAGTTCATCAGGCCATTTCTTATCGACCTGAGGACGTACGACTTTCCCGAGTTGCTGACACTGGTTATGTGCAGGGAGTTTACTTTGGGCATTATTTTGTGGCATACTCTGAACGTGTCTCTCGCAAATTGGTCGATGTCAAACCGTGGTGTATGCCCCACTCTTCGAGTATGTTGAGAGACTGGACGATGCTCCAGTATCTGTCTTTGTCTCGTAAAAAATTTGCGCATGTTGGCGATCTGCTCCCAGATTGGTGTGACTTTACACTCTATGTTGACGCCTGTGGCTGCCGCCGTTATGATGGTGTTTACGTTAGCGGTGTTTTTATAGAAATCGTCCCACTGTTCGCCGTGCTATTTTTGCAGTACACTATGACATCTCCCAAGTCAGTGCTGTTGCACTTTTTCATCATTTTCTTTACAAATTCGTATCTTTTGTCGATCAGTTCATCTCCGCTGTTGCCGCTGTCACACTCTTTAGGTTGTTTTGCCGTCAGCTGTCTCGGCATCGTCTTTTGCCCATCCGTAGTGATGTTCCCGCATGCCACAACCTTGCGCACATCTGCGTCGCTGATCAGATACTTCGCTAGACCGTACGGGTTGTATACTCTCTGACACTTCATTGCGTATTCTCTGTCTGGCTGTGTCGCCATCAGTTTTTTTAAAGCATGATGAAGCTGTGTATCGCCGTTGGATGTTCGGAGTGCCACGTAATCATGTGGAAGTGGTCGATGTCGTTGCAAGCTTTGATTTTACCTGGTCCCGCCTTGTGGTGTACAACTATGTATGGGTGTTTGTTTGCGATGTAAGCCAGGTATTTTTTTTCGTCTGGCCTGTATATTAGCGTGTTGCATATGGTGCCTATTGTGTCTTGTAGTTCATACTTAAACTCTGAGGGGCTGTCCAACCTATATATCCACGTGTATACTTTTAGCTGTTTGCCGTTTGCTCCCTCGTCGTTTAGGACGGCTTCGTTTACTGCTCTCGCCTCTTCGATTTGTGTTGCCATCGTTTTTTTGTTTTGATGCGGATCTCGTTGTGCGTACGTCTTGACTTGATCTCGGCCGATGTTTGAATGAACTCCTGCTTGCTGTCTGGTATCTCTTATGTCGCTCGTTTCCTCCCTTTTTGACTTCGGAATGTCGAGTGGTTATTGTTGTTTGTTTTACTTGTTTATGTATCTTCCTGAGTTTGTTGCTGCCGTCGTTGTTTGCTTGTTGTTTCCTTTGTACACATGGACAGTACGTCTGTGAGCCAGTCCCTTGGGATTGTGCCTGTTGGGAACGTTGATGAGGTTTCTGTCGTAGTCAAAGTCTTCGTGAGTGCCTGCTTCCGCCTGTGCTTTAGTTGTCAGCGGCACCTTCTGCGGATGTATGATCGTACCAGCATTCCACTTCTAGCACGTACGTGATTTCGAAGTTGAAGTATAGCGTGCCTATCGCCCCGTTTGGTCTGATGATTGGCGGTACGTGTATTAGCACTGGTTCCGGTGTGTCATCGTTGGTGTACAGGACCTTGTTTATCGCTGTCCTGTTAGCCACTACGAACAATCCCGTTGCTCTCTTCCACCCTGTACCCAGTTGTAAGTCCTTAGAATTTTTTGTGTTGCTCGTCTTGCGCAGTTGGTGGTGGTCGAAGCTCATGTCCGCCACCTCGTTCTTGCACACGTCTTCCATGCTGTCTGTTCACATTCTCTTTCTTGCCGCGTTATGGTCCAGGTCCGTCTATTGCGTACGTCCCGTAGTCTGGTGCCGTGCTAATGTCCAGTCCAAAGTCCCACCCTGTCTTTATGTCGTTGCTGATCGAGTTTCGCATTAGTTCGGGTTGGCTTAGCATGCTGCCGGTTATGACGTAGTTGTCCTGCGTGTACATGTTTGTTAGCGGTCTTCTCAGCAGCAAGTGGTTTTGCCACAGGTGGGAGTAGGAGTCTCCCTGTCTCAGCTTTTTGACGCTGGGCATCTCTCGCCAGTTGTGTAGGTCTATCATGTTGATGTTTGTCTCCTTTGTCATCGTTGTGATCTTACCCGAGTTCGGTATGGAGTTTACTTTCTTTATCGGCGCTCCGTATGCGTACACGTACCTTCATAGCTCGGCGTCGTTTGCTGTCATTGGCTGTATAAATTTGAATCCACTGTTGGGCACGTCTGACAGTGAGATGAGGTTGCCGTAGCCTATGTATTGTCCCTTGTCTATGTATATGTCGAAGTATGGCTCCGGGTTTGGCACGAATACTTCCTCGTTGCTCTTTGTCGTCCATTCCCCGCATATTATGTTGTCGATGGTAAATCCTACTCTGCTTACCCTGTAGCTTGTGGTGTGTTTTAGTGTGGCCTCCCTCTTGATTTGCTGTACACACGTCGTCAGGTATGGCACTATGTAGTCTTGTGATTTAATGTATGCCCAGCAGTAGTGTCCTACGTTGTGTATGCCCTCCTTGTTTTGTCTGTATTTCTTAAATGTCGCTTTAAAGTTGTTCATGTCTGTTGTTTTTACAAGGTTCTTGAACTTTCGCTTATATACGAACTTTCCTGCCATGTTGCCGCTCTCGGTCGGCATGACTGGGCCGATCGTCTCTACTGACCATCCTCCGTCGTTACCCGATTCGGACGTCTCGTTGCGGCCTGCGCTAACTTCCATGCCTTCCGCGCTATTAGTAGTGCTACAATCGACAGTATCGCGTATGCTAGCTTCGTTGTCTGGTCTAAAGTATCGGTCGGGACCCGCTGCGTGTTTGAGCCTGATGAGATTGCGAGAAGCTGCGCCCAGTAGTCCAGTCCCCTGAGTGTCTTCGTTGAATTGTTCATCTGCGTCTACTGTAGATATGTCTCTATCGTTGTAGTTTAGGTCGTGTTTTTTTGCTGCCTGGTCTAGCTTGCTTCTCGGGACCGCAAGCTTAAGCCTCTCTAAGTCTGTTCCTGGTCCTAGGAAGTCGTGTCCGGGTACCGTCCACTCTGTTCTCGATCTCTTAGCATAAGGCTTGACCAACGCCCCTGGTTTTTTTCTCTTTATCGGTGGCATAGTGTTTTTAGTTCCGGCTCTATGTTTACATCCTGTTTATCCGGTGTCTTTTTTATTTGTAAATTATCTCCCTTTGTTAAGTAGTGATTATCTCCCCTTATAAAAAATAAATTTCTTCACAGGCGCAGGTCTTATATGAAACTTAGAGGATGCACATTTTAACTCCTGTCCCTGGCACGGTGGTACTCGTTAATAACTATATTGTTCAAAAATAAAATCAAATAAAGTCAATATAGTTATTTACGAGTACCACCGTGCCAGGGACAGGAGTTAACCGCAAAGTGGCTCACCTGACCACATGCCCAACATTTTATGCTTCTCTTTAACTGGGCCACTCTCCCTCTTATTCCTGGGGAGACCTGCCCTCTACCTAAATGGCTCTCCTGGCCACATGTCCAACGTTTTACGTTCCTTCTTTTTAACTGGGCCACCCTCCCTCTTAATTCCAGGGTGTCTCGCTGGCTTTTCACCCGTCTGTATTCTTTTTCTCTCAGCAATGAAACAGACTCTCCAGTGTCTATCAGAGCTTTCATTGCCCTACCCCCTATTTTTGCCCTACAAGATAGCTCCTATACTAGGGGTGTGGCAATTCTCGTGAATCATGGGACAAATCGTCGGTAGTAACCTATAGCTCCTATAAACCCTCTTACTTGTCTCACTGTCTTAGGTTCTGGCATTTCCCTTATGACTTTCACCTTATCCATGTCGGGTTTAATACCATCTCCGTTTATAACAAAGCCCAAATATCTAGTCTCCTCCTTCAGAAACTGACATTTCGATAATTTCAATTTTAAGCTGTGCTTTCTTAGTCTTCTCAACATTTTTTTTAGATGGAAAAAATGTTGTTCTACTGTTTTTAAAAATATCAAAATATCATCTAAATGTGCCATGGCAAAGCTCTTGCATCCTCCTAACACTATTGATATCAGCTGTTGGAAGATTCCCGGGGCATTAGCCAAACCGAATGGCATCACCCTGAACTGAAAAAGTCCCAGGTGACATGCAAATGCGGCCTTTTCCTTGTCAGCCTCATCAAGGGCTACTTGCCAATACCTGGACCTCAAGTCCAACGTAGAGAAGTACTTCGCCTTCCCTAATAATGTCAATATGCCATCAATTAGTGGCAGTGGCACTGCCAAAGTCTTAGATATAGAATTCAGTTTCCTAAAATCTACACAAAAACAGTGCCCGCCATCTTTCTTGCCTACTATCACGATTGGAAAGCTACAAGGGGAAATCGATCTTTCTATCATCCCAGCTTCCAACATCTATTCTACTGCCTCTTCCACTAGGGGTCTCTTATGAATAGGTGTTCTATAAGGCTTCAATTTCACAGGGGGTTGATCGCCGGTATCGATCTTCATTTTTACTGTGTGGGTCTGGCCTAATTCCTTATCTGATTTGGCCACTACATCTCGATTATTTCTTAGCAGACCTCCCACTCTGACCCTAAATTGATCAGTTGCCAATATCTCTTTGTCTGCTATTCCTTCTGGTTGTTCTATGTGTTTTCTTTGCTTCTCATCGAATTTCACTTGATTCAGAATTTGTGTGGGTAGTGCTTTTCCTATCTCTTCCCCTCTCTTGACCTTTATTGTCTTGTGGGCCTGGTTCACCATAATGGGCACTAATTCAGCTGCTTCCACTACTGCCTCACACAGAGTTATCTCATTCTCTTCTGGGCTCTTCCCTTCTACAGGGACCAACTGCAGGGTTCCGTTTTCTATTCTCTTCCCTGTCATCAGGTTACCTTTGCCCGACACTGCCGTTCTGCGGGGTAGCTTTATATCTTCCTCCACCACTATTGTTATAACTTCTTCCGGTGGGCATCCTGTTGTTCATGATGACGGTTGTCTTTGGGTATAGAATCCAGAGGTTAGCAGTGAATATTTCAAAGACATTTACTACCAGCACAGTGGGGTTAAACTCTATCTGAGCCCTCTGGCTCTGAAGCCAATTTTCTCCCAAGATTGCTTCCGTACACAGGTTGGGGGTTATGTAGAAGTTCTGAGTACTTTTCAACTTTCCAGGCCTCACAGAGAGCCTCACCATCCCTTTTATCTCCAGGGGAGCTCCATCTGCCTGTGTGATTTCTATGTCCGCTTCCTGCAACCCATTCTTCTGTTTCACCTGTCTGTATTCTTTTTCTCTCAGCAATGAAACAGATGCTCCTGTGTCTATCAGAGCTTTCATTGCCCTACCCCCTGTTTTTGCCCTGAGCTCTTGTACATTCCCACCTCTTTTCACCTTCTCCCAAACTCCCTGGCTCTCCTTGGCCAGCGACACTGGTATATTTTTCCTGTAACAATCATTGAAAACTCGAATATGAGTCCGAGTAATAAACGAATAACACAAAACAGTATATAAAACAAACATCCATGTATGTATTAACAAAAGTATACAATAACAGTAAAAGAAGAAAACATTTAAATTAGGGAATGTGTGTTTGTGGAATGTGTGTAGGCCTATGTGATAGACCCGTGTGCGTGTTTGAGTACAGGAAGTCAGCTGGTGAACAATGAAGATCTTCCTTTATCTGAGATCAAAGTGACAACATTACCAAGGGTAGATTATTCATCCATGATGAGTTGTTGACA